TACTGCTCAGTTCAGGTCGTGCCTTCGGACATATTTAGGAATTACATATATTCGGGATGGTGGTACCCACCTTATACCTATGAGTGCAGACATCTTTGGTTTTGAATATCTTGAAGCAATTGGTAGAGAGGATATGGAGCAAGTTTTTAGGCATTTGGAATTAGGCCTCGGTGTTATCGGTATATACATCAGGTATAATGTTAAATTATGAACTATGTTTAATTAAATGAATAATTTAATCCCTCATTTTAATGAATATAGTATAATGTTAATCATGTTTTAATTTAAGGTTTATGTATGACAACATTGTGTGCCCGTGTGGATTAGAAGCAAGATTTGGCTTCTTAGCTCCCAACACTGTCAATTTCGGGTTGATTGTAACGAGACCAGATGATGTTATATCATATGTATTAGGTTTATTCATGGCCAGTAAAGATACTGAGGAGTTGTTCTTTTTTCCATATAATACTGGCAACGGGTTAGATTTTCATCCTAACTTGATCTATTATAATTTTCCGTTTTTGGCCATTGTTTAATCTTTGTTTAATCTTACAGTGGACACTGGTTATTGGTTGCGATTAATCCTATGAGAGAAACTGTATATTATCTGGACTCATTATACAATGATTGGTCAACATATCCAAATTTGAAACAGATGATTGACACGTAAGTGTTTTGCTCCCAAAGAGATATTCAAGTTTATGTTTATGTTTATGTTTATGGTCAACATATCTGGATTTGTGTTTATGTTTATGATTCTATGTGAGATTATTCTAAACATTTGTTTATATTTTATTATAGTGTTCTACTTGCTTTTCGCTCCCAACGAGATATTCAAGTACCAAAAAGTAGAGCCAACAATGTTACATGGATCAGAATGGAGGTATATTTTCACAAAGAGATATTCAGTTTTTCTTAATTTAATGATGATACTTGATAAAACAATTTAAGGGGTATATCCTGATATATATTCGTATTTTCTTTCCATGTGTAGTGTCCTCGCCAGTGTAACAGTATAGATAGATTGTGGCTATTTTATGTTGAGGTTTATGAAATAAAATATTCTTTTGGATCGATTAGAGATTCCATCCACGGTATGGATTTCTAACTTAGGAATTACATACTATTTTCATATTTTGTGTTTCTCATAAAATGACATATTGTTTTAACTAAATCACATACTATGTTATATTATTATATATGTAGTACTTTGAGGAATTCAATTGTGCACATTACTCAAAAGATCAATTGGATGAACTTATAGAGGAATGGTGTCAATTCATTATCGGGTTGAGAATTTTATAAGCTAAGGTATATTGTCTTATTTCCTTTGATGAGAACTTTCGAGTTTTGAGTATAAATTAAATTCGAATAAAGTGCAACGTTAATAATATCATGTTATGAATTTCGATCATTTGGTTTTTTTTCCAGGTTTATAGGTACATGTGTAGAAGATAGAGCTAAGATATTCATGTTGTTGTTGTTTCATGAGAATTCTCGAAGATAGAAAGATGTATAGATGTAAATTCAATTTTGAATATTTTAGGCATTTTAACTTGTAGAATTTTAACTTGGATCATAAATTTTGTAATTGTTGTTGTCTATATCATTAATTTATATATATGTGCAATTTTTATATATGTATATTTTATTGGAATGAAGCTACCAAATATGGTGCATAAAAGATAATTCTGAAAACCTGGATCAACATATTGGGATGAAGCTACCAAATATTGGAATGAAGCTACCAAATATGATAAAAATTCTGATTAAAATAGTTAATTTATTAAAAAAAATTGTAAATAATAGACATCACTTTAGGAGAAAAGCGCTATAAAAACTTTTAAAAAAAGCGCTGCCTAAAGTCTGAAAGCGCTGTCTAAAGTGGGGGAATAGACAGCACTTTCAAAGGAAAGTGTTGTCTAAAGCCTATCTGGAAAAAATTACAAAGCGCTGTCTAAAGCCCAAGCGCTGCTAAAGGGGTATATAAAAAAGCGCTGTCTATTCTAAAAGTGTTGTCTAAAGTGGACATAAGGCAGCGCTTTTACGTTGAAAAAAGCGTTGTCTTTTCTTTTAGCAACGCTACTTTAGGCAGCGCTTTAAAGCGTTGTTAAAGGCCAAAAAAGCGTTGTCTTTTCCCTTTTTTGTAGTAGTGTTTTCTCCTTCATCTCTCTCAAACCAGTTTCAAAATGATCCAAAAGACATCTAATGTCAAATGTAACACCCCAAAAATATAGATTTATTATTTAATTAATTTAGTGTGAATATTGGTGATTTTGGTGATTATATGAATTTTTGTGTTTTGATGTGTTGGAATACATTTGATGAGATGTAGTTGCCTTAGATAATAAAGAAAAAAAAGTGTTGGGGTGTATGACTAAAAATGTAGAAACATAGAGGTGGAAGGAGAATGTTGGTTTAATATTAATATTATGTGAATTAAAATAATAATTATAGTTTTTATAATTATATTATTATCATCTTAATTAGAGAATGGCAAAGTTGAAATATGGATTTAGGAGTCCAAGAGGTTAAGTGGTCATAAGAGGAAAATTAGAAGTTGGATCGTGATATTTTTTTTGTGAACGAGAGAAGAGAAGCGAAGAACGAGAAAGAGAGAAGAAGAGGAAATTATTCAGAAATGGAAGAATTCCCGGTAGAGGTTTGGGAATGTACAAGCTAAGATAAGAGTGGGGTTCTGACTCTCTAATAAGTGATATAATGGTAGGGATGTAATGATATGCATGTTAGATTTTGGTGTAGATTGTTTGATTTAACCCGTTGAAATTGACTATAATCGATGAATTGATGCTTTGAATTGTGTGGTAATTGATGTATGTTGATAGAAATGATAATTGTATGTTTGATTATGTATTATTTGATGAAGTTTGTGTTTTTGTAATTGAGACAAAAGGATTTTCGTACTGCACTTTACATAATTCGTAAATATGTTTTTCACAGGGTGCAATCGATTGCAACAGAAGAGCAATCGATTTCATTGCTTAAAAATTGGGATTTTCGTTTCTGTTTCAGTAAGCAATCAACTGCAGCAGAATCGATTGCACTGCTTAAAAACATGATTTTGGCCTCTGGAACAGGGTGCAATCGATTGCTCTATTAGTGCAATCGATTGCTCATTCTTTGACAGTATTTTTGAAAACTTGAAAACTCCATAACTTTTGACTCGGGTGTCTGTTTGATGCACCGTTTGGACCGTTGAAAAGATAAAAATATTTTCTAAAATGTGGTAATAATTTTGACGATAGTAGAATAATATTTATTTGGAAGAATTATATGTGTGCGTATGTTGTATGTGTTGTAATGTAAAATGTTGCAATTAATTGTATCGATGATGTGTGAAGGAATTATAGGTGATATTGCAGTATTACGAAGATGGTGTTAGCCTAAAATTGGTGTGATATTTATGATTATTCTTGTGGTTGCATAATCTTGTTGTAGCATGACGCATTTCATGCATCATTGATGGCTTATGCTCTGGCTTGTATTGGCAATTTGTTGAGGGCTTATGCTCTGGCCTGTATTGGTAATTTCTTGAGGGCTTACACTCTGGTCTGTATTGGAAAAAAATTTAGGGCTTATGCTCTGGCCTGTATTGGAAATTTGTTGAGGGCTTATGCCCTGGCCTATATTGGCAATTTGTTGGAGAGGGTTTATACCCTGATGGTACCACATGCATCTTGCATCAGCGTCAGTCGCATTGCATGTTGTTTAATTTGTTAATATGATGATGATGTTGAATTGAATATTGTTGAATTGTTAATACGATGATGATGTTGAATTAAATATTGTTGAATTGTTAATACGATGATGATATTGAGTTGCATAATTGGTATGTGTTGCATGACAGATGACGATAATTATATATATATTTGTATAATCATTGTGAATTTGTGGTTGATGATGTTGAGCATGAAATCTTACATGATATATTTGTCACATACTTATTATTATATGACTTATTATATGGTTATGATATCTCACCCCTTTTGTTTGAATGTTGCCTCTACGTGGGTAACATGCAGATGATCCGAAGTAGCTCGAGGTCGAGGTTAACCGAAGAGTTTCCTTATTTTGCATAGATTAGGTTGGTGTAAGCTCTGATATGTAACACTTGGGGGGTTTTTGAGCTTGTTTTGTTTATGTTGGGAGTAAACTTTTGTAAAACCCCGTTGTTGAGATTTAGATATTGTTTATGCTGAATTTTTAAAAGATGATTTTTATCACTCATGTTGAAGAGTTGAAAGTAATTATTGTTGATGTTTTCCGCTGCAAATGGATGCAATGAAGTTTAAGACTATTGAGTATGTGATTTTGTGTTGCGTATCTTATTTCAAGAGCATGTATGATGTATGAATATGTAGCATCCTATTCTTGATGTTTTGTTTCAGAAATTAATTTACTTTGATTTTACTTATTTTACCGATGGGGAAATAGGGTATTACACTAAATCTGCTGATCTCAAGCCTGTTACAAATTCATATGGGGTCAAGATGCTTGGAATTAAAATATGGAAAAAAGAAACATCAAATAAAACTAGGATTTGTGAATCTAGAGACTATGATGATGAACCTATTATGTTTTTGAACCCAATACACATGCAAATGGTTGTTCATGTTGACATCTCTACAAAAAGAACAAAGAGTGTTGCCACCAAGAAGAAGATATTATCTAAAAATTCCAGTACCACTTAAAAGGCATCTTCTGTACATGTTCATAACACTACTGAATATATGATTGTTAATGAGGAAATTATTCTAAATCTTACTGAGAAAATTATTGATCATGCTGAAACTAATGTTGAGAAACCTCATGTGGAATCCCATGTTAAATCACATGATTCAAATGTTGAACCAAATGTTGAAGAATTTGTTCCCACATCTGGTTTCCCATAATATGAACCCATTTATGTACCAATTTGTGAACCACTTGAATACACTAGTGAACCACATGTTAAAGAAACTCCTAGTGCCAATACTATCATGGTTGATGGTAATCCTATTGATACACCTGTCATTGATAATTATTTTGATGATATTTTAAATGATAAATATGCCTCCTCTGAAGATTCTAATGATGATACCCTCAATGATAACCATCAAAATATAGAGGCTAAATTTCTAAGTAAGACTTATCTTGGAAACAATGAGTCCAATAAAGAAGTAAGGAATGAATATGTTGGTGATGATGATATTCCCATTGCTCATATCATGCAGAAGCTTATTGATGATGTTTTCGAGCCTCAAGATAAAGTCACTCAAATAAAAGCTAGAAATATGGTGAGTGTAGATGAAGAGGCTGAATTAGATGGACAACATGTTGTTAAAGCTAGGAAGATTAAAACCAAGTCTATTAATAAAGGAGTAAAGGAGAAGGAGAAAAATGTTCCTATCAAAACCTCCCTAGAGAAATATGAAATTGTGAAGAAGAAAACTTCTCAAAGGTCTCATGTGAGTAAGATAAGAAAGGTTGAAGAGAAATCAATTGTGAAAAAGTATCTAAAGAGAAATCTTGTTCAATCAAGTGACTATGAGACAAAAGTTGAATCAAATGTCCAGGATATTGTGTCCACCATCAGGAGGAAGGTTGGTGGGAAAAGGATTCTAGTGAATGTTATTGCTGCTCCACTTGATAATGTATCATTCCATTCTGAATCAAGTGTTCAAAAGTGGAAATTTGTTTATCAAAGAAGGATTTCTTATGAATGAGAATTGAGTAATAAGGTACTTGAGGGAGAATAAGTCATAAATCTATTGAAGGATGTTGGCCTAATGAATACTCTTTCAGATATAGGACCTTGCTATAAAAAGTTGGTCAAAGAGTTTATTATGAACTTGTCACCATATTGTTGTGTTGAAGGTAGTTAAGAGTACAGGAAGGTTTATGTTAGAGGTAAATGTGTAAATTTTTCACGCTCCATTATTGATGCTTATCTGGGAAGAAACAAGTCAACTAAATCTGAAAAGTTCTCTCCATGGACAATATTGCAAAGGAAATCACTACTGGTCAAGTGAAACAATGTCCAAACAAAGGGTTTCCTTCTGGTAGATTGAGTGTGAAATATGTTGTACTGAATAAGAGAGGTGCAACAAGTTGGGCACCCACTAATCATAGTTCAAGCATAACTCATGCTTTGGCCAAGATGATTTTTAAAATTGGAACCAAGTCTAATTAGACTTTGGAGAGTATGTGTTTAACTAGATCATGAAGCATGCTGATTCTTTTGTAGTAAATCTACCTATACCTTTTCCTTTCTTATTAACCAGAATAATCTTGAAATAATTGTGAACTCAAGCTTCTTAAATATTATATTTTGATGAAGGAAACTACTATGTGCATATATCAAAGTATTAGGAAATCATCATGAAGGAATATGGCAATGGATTAAGATTGCAATATTATGAAGACTTGCATTGATCTTAATTTATTGAGGATGAAAAAAAACATCATGAAGTAATATGGCCACGGATCAAGAATGCAACATTATAAAGACTTGCATTTATCTTAATTTATTGAGGTATAAGCATGCAATATTTATTGATAAAATAGTTTTCAAAATAATCTTCAAAATTCACTTGCATGCATGATTCGAAAATATCTCACTATTTCTAGCTTTAAAACAAAATATTTTTATCATGCATTTGAACATTTATTTTTCATGTTTGAACCATGTTAAATCATATTAATATATAATCTATTTACTTGAATAAATCAATATATTTTGCATAAGGTTGGGTCAAATCCTTAGACAAATTTTCAATTTTTTTCAATTTTTCAAATATTTTGATTTTGGTAAATTACGGCAGTTTTACCTCACGTAACAGCACTAAAAACCGCTCTAATTTGCACCAGTTTGAAGAAGTATTTCATTTTTGAAATTAAAAAAAAAAATTTGTATTTGTTAAGTCAGATATCCGTTAAAATTGACTTAACAAGTCCTGTACAAATTAAAAATATTAAACAACAACTTTTTAACACTTTTTCATGCACTTCTTCATGAAACCTGTTCATTTTAACTTTGCATTTTTTTCATGATATTTTTCCATGACTTCACCATGATTCATAAAGGTGTTATGCTCATATAAATACATAAAATTTCAAATTATAATTAACCTCTTTTATTTCAATTTAACATCATTATAATCATTCAATTTTAAAAACAAGTGTTTGTGTTTTTGAACTTTCACGAGGAATTTTTTGGCATGTATTTCCATATCAATCTAGAAAAATTCATACCATATTAACAAACACTTGAGCATTATATTCTATCATTATAAGTTGCTTATTTGGAAGGGAAGATTAATCATATTGATACATCACTCAAAGTGATAATTGTTCTACAATTTCATATTCTTAAAAACTCTTGTTATATTCATATCTCATTTTCCAGAATTGTTGGAATTAAGATTACTTGGGTTTTATTCCTTGATGTCAAGGATTGTTAGAAGTAAGTGTTTGAAAGTGAGAGAATTATTCTCATTTCAACTTGTCTGATCCAAGAGGATTGTTCTTGGTGGTTTTATTGGTTAGAGTCTTGTATAAAAAGACTAGGTTGTCTTGTCTAGAGATCTAAGAATAATGAAATCTCTTTTTGTTGAAATAGGGCTGAAGTACTCTCAGACTGTGAGGGAAACCAGGATATATCCTTGTGTTCTTTACTTTTCCATATTTATCGCTTTCATCTTAAATCATAACTAGAAAAGAAAGAAACACTTAAACACCAAACCAGAAAAATAAGAACAAGTATTCTAAAATTGGATAATTTTTCAAATTCCCAATTCACCCCCTTAGGCGCAGTCAATAACTTACAATTGGCATCAAAGCAAGTTATAGGTAACTTGTTCCAAAACGATCCAAAATGGCTTCCACAAATGTAAATATGGTTTTAAAATATGGTGGTAGCAACAATAAGCCTCTATTGTTTTATGGTGAGTACTTTGATTTTTGGAAAATTGGCATAAAGGCTCACTTAGAAGCACAAGGAGAAGAAATATGGGATGATGAACAAAATGACCCCTTTGTTCCTATAAGTGTTGTTAATGGTGTTGGAACGGCAAAGCCTAAAGGTTATGAGATGACAATGATAAGAAAAAAGTCCTCTATGACAAAAAGGAAATTAATCTTCTTGAATATTTACTTAGTATGGATGAATTCTTTCATATTTATACATGCACAACGACAAAGGAAATATGGAATATATTGGTAGAAACTCATTAAGGAACGACTGAAGTTAAAAGATCTAGATTGAATACCTTGAGTCAAGAGTACAAGTTATTTCAAATGCAGTCTCAGGAATCAATCATCGACTTGCAGAAAAGATTCGTGCATTTTAAAAATCATTTGAAAATACTCAGTAAGACTTTAAATAATGATAAACTTAATCTTAAAGTTCTTAGATATTTATCCAGGGAATGAAAACCAAAAGTGACAGAAATATATGAGAAGAAGAATCTGTCCACAATGACTTATGCCACTTTGTTCGAAAAACTTCAAGAATATGAAACGGAACATGCAAGACTTGAAAAACATGAAATCCAAGTAAAAGATTCAAAAGATATTTCTTTAAAGACAGGGATAAAAAATCATGATAGAAATCAAGAGGATGAATCCACTAGTAGTGAAGATGATGATCTTATTAAGAAGATTTAAAAGGTTCTACGAAAAGAAAGAAAAAGGGAAGCACTGATAAGGAAGGTTATATGCTTTGAATGTGGAGAAAAGGGACATGTTAAAAGTTAATTTCCTACACTTGAAAAGAATAAGAAATATTTCAAGAGAAATAAAGATAAGAAGTCAAAGAAAGAATATATAGCACGGGAAAATTGTTCGTCCGATTCTGAAAGCAATCAACGTGTTAATCTTACATTAATGAATTCACATTATTCGGATGATGAAATTGATGAGGTTAGTAATGATTTTTTTTCTTTATGATAGTGATTCACAAGGTGAAATATATGAAATCTTAAATGAATCCAAAGTTTTGTACAAAACTATTTCATCTCAAAAGAAACATATGTCATCTTTAGAAGAAAAAGTTGAGAAAATGGAAAATGATTTCAAGGATGAAAAACAAAAGATTATTAATGAACAAAAACATAATTTTGTATGCAATAATTTTGATTCACTTTCTTTCCAAATTGTTTAATTAAAAGGAGTCCTTGAAAGGTATGAAAAGGGACAAGTTGGATTAGAAAATGTTCTTAGCCAAAAAAAGGTACTCTAATGATAAAAGTGGGTTTTGTTACTCAAAATTTTCTAAACCAAGTTCCAACAAAACTATCTTTGTTAAAGAAAGTGACCAATTCAACAAGGAAAAAGAGAACAAAGTATAAAAGGTTTGTCATCATCATAAGAAGAGAATTCCTAAAAGGAAATCTTATATTCCTAGATATAGAAGTAATTTTGTTCCTACATGTTTTTGTTGTGGTATAAGTGGCCATACACCTAATGTTTACTATATTAGAAATGTTAGCGTGACAAGTAGGCATTATGTGTGGGTCAAGAAGGTAACTAAATATGGTGGACCCAAAGCATATTGGATACCAAATAAAACTTGATTTGTTTTGTAGGTTTACTTGAGGACCACTTTAAATCTATGATGTTTGGATAAGTGGCGACTTTAAGCATTTGATGGAGGACATAAACTAACTTTTAAATCTAGTTCAAAAGTTCAAGGGTTATTTCACATATGAGTAATACCTTAAATAAAATTTCTTAGCATAGGCAAAGTTGAAGCACTAGCTTTCACATCCATTGGAGATGTATTTATGTTGAAAGACTAAAGCGAGATCTTCTAAGTAAAATCCAACTTTGTGATAAAGGCTTCAACATCATTTTCTCAAAATATGAATAGTTTATGAAGTCAATCTTGAGATAAAACTCATTGGTATAAATTATTTTTACTTTCAATAATTTCTTTATGTATTATAAAACTTTTCCCATCATGTGTGTGTGTGTGTGTGAGTGTGTGTGTGTGTGTGTGTGTGTGTGTGTGTGTGTGTGTGTGTGTGTGTGTGTGTGTGCTTGTCTCTAACTATTGCAGCCCAAATAAATATTCAAATTCTCTATGATTCAAGGGAGAGTTATCAAATATAGGGAGAGAATTCACATAAGAGTTTCTCATTCATTCTAAAAGAGTCAAGCATCTTAATCTTCAATGGTTGTCATCATCAAAAAGGGGGAGATTGTGAAGTCAAGCTTCTTCAACATTATTTTTTGATGAAGACAACTACTATGTGCATATATCAAATGATAAGAAAAATTATCATGAACCAATATGGCTATAGATCAAGATTGCAACATTATGAAGACTTGCATTGATCTTAATTTATTGAGGATGAGAAAAACATCATGAAGCAATATGGCTATGGATCAAGAATGCAACATTATGAAGACTTGTATTGATATTAATTTATTGAGGTATAATCATTCAATATATGTTGATAAAATAGTGCTCAAACTAATATCTAAAATTCACTTGCATGAATGTTTCATTTGGTCGAAAATATCTCACTATTTCTAGCTTTAAAACAAAATATTTTATCATGCATTTGAAAATTTATTTTTCATGTTTGAATCGTGTTAAATCACTTTTAAATATATTCTATTTACTTGAACAAATCAATAGATTTTGCATAAGGTTGGCTCAAATACTTAGACAAATTCTAAATTATTTTCAATTTTCAAACATTCTATTTTTGGTAAATTA